CAAACATCCATGAAGTTTTATTGCTTTCCTCAACAGGCACCGACAGTTGGTAGATATCTGTCAATCGAGTGAGGATCGAGTAATTTGAAACAACCTGAAGTGACAGCGCCAAAGCAAAGCACTGGAAGCATTTCTTTGTTAAAAAAACAAACAACTAATTTTAAGTTAGTTTTAACGTCGTGCTGAGGGATGATGATAACTTATTCTGTCTGATGCACATTTTCTTAAAAGCTTTCAAGGATTTGGATGCAGCAACTACACAAACATTCTTGTATAAAGTTCAAGTTATTCCTTGGATTATTATTACGTTTTCACATAATCTAAACAAAAAGTAAATGTTTTAATGTATAAACTGTAAAATATGTGTTGGGGAGCTTGGAATAAAATAAATATTGAAACATCAACCAGTGGCTCATCACATCCACCATTGTAAAAACACACTTGTGTCTATCACTTGGTGACAGCAGGTCTGATGAGACAGACAGAAACATGCCAAGATAGTGATCATCAGACAAAAAGTCACTGCTCAACAAGTTGTACTGGAAACTATGTTAAGCCATAAACAGTAGGTGTCTGGTTCTTACACTGTTTGAGAGTTGGACCCAAGACAGCTAACTGACACGAGGAGATGGAATAAAAACTAAAAGATTTTAAAAAGAAAGAAAACAAACAGGATGACATGGTTGCAACGACTAACAAAATACAACTTGAGGAGACAAGAACCAGACAAGTTATAAAGAACAGCAATGGCCGACTGCAGGTCTGGTAAAGACTGGAAAACTAACAGGACTGATGAGAGGAATGGAGACGCCTGGACACAATGACAACAGGGAACAGGTGTAAGTGGGTGGGACAGGGAGTGAAGGCTGACGATGGAAAAGTACTGAGAAAAAGAAGTGGTTGCACATGGAACACAGACAAATAAAACGAAACAAAAGGGCATAAACACAAAAATAAAAATAAAAGACTACAAACTACCAACAAAAAAAAAAGATTCTAACACATGCACATTTGTTTTATGTGCCAAAGTGTTTTATGTACTGAAAATAAAAATACTGTGAACTATTTTTGAGCTGTAGAACTCCATTTAGGGTTGGCCTGACTTGTGTAGGTGAAACCTCCCTGCAGTCCATCTGGACATGTTCATCTATGTTGTAGTAATACCGAAAAATCTAAGCAAACTTCTCTAAATCGAGACACATTTTTACTGTTTTATGTTTTTTATGGGTTTTTGTTCAGAGAGCAGCAAATTCAATTTCATGTCGGAAACATTAGATTATGTGACAAACATTATTAAGGGTGCTTCAGGCACCCTTATTAACTCTGGCCTAAATTATTTAGGGCATTGTACTTCTTTATTGTACTTTCATGATATAAAAAAAAACAAATAAATGAAAACTTGTTTTTAGCATCAAGTGATTTGTACCTTGAACAGATATTTATGACAAAATGTCTGAATCTGAGACACATTGTTGCTTCAACTCCAACAGTTTTATCTTGAAGAGACATTTTGCTTTTGTTTTGTATTCAGCTGACTTTGCGCCTGGTAAAAAATAAAAGTCCTTCTTCATTTTGGTTGTAAGGCGTGCCGCTGGTTACGTTTCAAAGGTTATTTGACCACACGCTGCTTCTATTCTCCTGTGACTCTCCTGTGACTTTCCTACGAAGCGTACGTGTCACAACTGGCAGCTCCAGGCTCCACTGATGAGCTAAGGCCTTTATTACACCTCCCAGTCACTGACACCCCCTCAGCACTCACAAAACGTGGCTTACCAAATCACATTGAGTTTGTCGTTGTACAAATTACCACTCGATGGCCTCCCACCACAAGTCAAACTTTTACCTCTCGTTTGTTTTCTTCCTCTTGTTTTCCCTTTGTTTATTGGCAGGTGGAAACTAGGTGTGAACATTTGTTGTATTTTTCTCTGTAGTGCCAGGGAGTTTTGGAGTTGCAGTTTACTGCTGCCTGACTGGAAATACATTTAACCAATTATCAATCCCACTGAGATGCAACTTCAACATTCGATTACTTAGTTGGTACGAACACCAGCATCATCACCGACTTTTATAGGTGCACCATTGAGAGCCTGCTGACAGGGTGCATCACCGGGTGGTATGGGAACTGCACCAGTCAGAGATGGAAAGCTCTACAGAGGGTGGTGCAAACAGCAGAGGACATTATGCATGAAGCTGTTGCTGAACTGGAGCTCGTTCAATGACAGATTACTGCATCCTAAATGCACAAAGGAGCGTTACTGCAGGTCCTTCCTCCCAGCAGCTGTTAGACTCTACAACCATCACTGCTCCCAACAAACTCAATAAGGATTAAATACATGCTGACCTCTGCTAAAACACACACCCTGCATGTAATACTGTACTGAATAGGCTGTCCTTATCAATGTTCCAACACATATTGCACATTATTATTGATATTGTTTATCTTATTTCTTTATATATTGTTTTGTTTTTAACATTTAGGAATGTTTGTGTGAATCTTTTTATCTTTTTTATCTGTTGCTGCTGTTACACTTGAATTTCCCATCCGTGGGACAATAAAAGCTGTTTCTATTCTATTCTATTCTATTCTATTCTATTCTATTATATTATATTATATTATATTATATTATATCACTGGTAGCAGTCTCCACACCATCTACCACAGCCGATGTCTGCGTAAAGCACGCAGCATCATTAAGGACCACACCCACCCTGCACAAAGACTCTTCTGTCTACTACCCTCAGGCAGATGATACAGGAGTCTGCCATTGCACATGAAAAGACTCAAAGACTGTTATTATCCATAAACTGTCAGATTACTGAATTCCCGATAAATAACACTGAACAAACTGGCAATAACTGAATAATAATTCATACTAAATATCATTATCTGTGCAATAACCTGTCACACAAATTGTGTGGTATATGTTGATTATGTGCAATATATATATATATATATATATATATATATATATA